TGAACCCCCAGCAGCCTTCGGGGAGCACGGCTGGGGCGGGTGGCAGCGCCCAGGGGTGCTCCAGGCGTGCGGGCACATCGAGCGCTCACCGGGCCCTGCTCCTCCGGTAGTAATACACCGTCTTGGCTTGGAAACCTGCAGGAGAGAAGCGAGACTGAGTGCCGTGCCCACTACCACTCCTGGGGGGTGGGGAGTTCGCGGTCCCCTCCGGGTCCCCTCGGGGTCCTTGGGGGTGCAGGGGCACCGCCACCTCTCCGCTGCCTCCTCCCACGGCGCCGCCTGCGCCGGCTGCTGGTCCGGCGGCTCCTCCTGCGCCGCCTTGCTGGGGCACGGGGCCGGGGGGCCCAGCGGCACATGGTGGTCCTGGGGGGTGCGGCGCTGCCTCCTCCTGCTGTGGCCACCGGCACCCACGGAGCCCAGGCGCGATGCTGCGTAGCCATGGGGACATTGTGCTGTCACCGTGATGTCAGCGGGGCCGGGGTTCTCCCAGGGCCCCAGCCCGCTCCGCAGCCAAGCTCACCCTCCCCCTGCCCTCTCTGGGACTGGGGAGAAAAATGGGAAAATGAAGACTGTGGGTTGAGACAGAGACAGTTTATTAACACAGGAAAATAATGATAATGACAATAGTGCTACTCCTAGTGCCGTGTCCAAACAAGTGATGCACAATGCAATTGCTCACCACCCGCTGACCGATGCCCAGCCTATCCCCAGCAGCTGCCCCCCATCCCAGCCAGCCCCCCCATATAATTGTTCAGCATGACCCCATATGGTACGGAAGAGGATAATAGTCAAACTTTGGGCAGTTTGGGTCACCTGTCCTGGGTCTGTCCCCTCCCAGCTCCTGCTGCACCCCCAGCCTGCCCGCTGGCAGGACAGAGCGAGAAGCTGAGATGTCCCTGGCTCGGTGTAAGCACTGCTCTGCAACAATTAAAACATCAGCGTGATATCAATATTATTCTCATCCTAATCCCAAACACAGCACCCTACCAGCTACTAGGAGGGAAAGAGGGACACTGGGCTGTGCTACGCCTGGGGGCAGCCCTGCCACCACGTGCCAGCCACCGAGCAGGGAGGTGGCCAGAGCGCGAGGGGCTGGCCGTGGGTCACCATTCCCAGCAGACATGGGGACAGCGATGTGCCTGGCCATCACACGGGGGTGACACACGGACAGGCCTCGTGCTGTGGCCCTTCTCCTTCCCCGTGCTGGATGCATCCTCGCTGCTGCAGGGCTGGGCATCGTCCTGATACCAGCACCTACTCAGGAGCAGCCCCAGGAGCGCAGCCACGAGCAGGCTGCATGCAGGGCACCACCAGCACCACACTGGGGAAAGGCGTGCGCCTGGTGGGGCCCCTGCCAGCTCCAACCCCAAGTGTTTGGCATTGGGACGGGCTGCCCGGGGAAGTGGTGGAGTCACCACCCCATGCTGCCAGGGCGAAGCATCCCCAGCACAGCACGTGGGCACTGGGGCGCTGCAAGCACCTCGCTGCCATTTCAGCACCAAATCCTGGTGGGAAAGGCGGGCGCCTGGTGGGGCTCGGTGCCTGGCAGCAGGAGCTGGGGCGCAGGAGAGCCCAGGCCCCCACCCGCTCCAACCCCAAGTGTTTGGCATTGGGATGGGCTGCCCGGGGAGTGGTGGAGTCACCACCCCTGGGGGTATTTAAGAGACGTTTGGATGCAGAGCTCGGTGCTGTGGGGCAGTGCAGGGCTGGGTGGTGTTGGGTCAGAGGTTGGGCTGGGTGACCTTGGAGGGCTCCTCCAACTGGGACGGCTCTGGGACCCTGGAATTTTGGGCGTCTGGGGTTCTGTGACTCTCCCTGCACCCCCCTCAGTGGCACGCGCGCCCCGTCACAAAGGGCCTCGCCCGCGGGCCCCTATAAAAGGGGCGCGGGGGCGCAGAGCGCCAGCCACCGGCACAGCAGGGCCAGCGTCCCGCAGCCGCGCCCCCAGCCCAGCATGGCCAGCTACCGGCGCAGCAGGACCCGCAGCAGGAGCCGGCGTCGCCGCAGCCGCCGCCGCTACGGGAGCCCCCGGCGCCGCCGCTACGGGAGGAGCCGGCGTCGCCGCTACGTGAGGAGCCGCCGCCGCCGCCGCCGCGGGAGACGCAGCCGCCGCTACTGAGCCGTCCCCGCCGTCCCCGGGCGCCCGCGGAGCCGCCGCTGATGGGAGCCCCGGCCGCCACCGCCCGCGCAGCGCCGCACCACCGCGCCCGCACACGGCCCTGCTGCTGTGCCCGCAACACCTGCCAATAAAGCCGAGACGTGGCACCAGGCCCCGCGTGCTGGCTGTGTCCGGGGGCGCCGTGTGTCCCGGGGGGGTTCGGGTTGGGTGTCCTGGGGTGGGCTTGTGCGAGGGGAACGTGTCCAGGGGGTCCGAGTCCAGGGGGTTGTCCCGGGGCAGCCTTGTGCAAGGGGGAGCGTATCCATGGGGTCCGTGTCCCAGAGGGGCTCTGTGTCCCAGGGTGTCCGTGCCAGGGTGTCTGCATGGCCATGGCCAGCACCGGGGTGTCCCCACGCCCTGGCCACCAGTCCCCTGCGGTTCCACTTTGGGTCTGCCCCACTGGGGCTCGTGGTGCCCGGCTCTTTTGGGCCGTCCCATGCCCAAGGAGGGGGCAGCGCCTGGCGGGTGCTCGGGGCTCGTGCAGCCCAGGGTTGGGTGCGTGCAGGGACAGAGGTGGCTCTGCCTGCATGTGCCTGGGGGGGCTGGCCCTGTCCCCATGTCCAGCCCTGTCCCATGTCCCGGCCCTGTCCCCATGTCCCAGCCCTGTCCCCATGTCCCAGCCCATCTCTGCTCATGGCAAGGACCCCGTCCCACCCCTGTGGTCACGTTGTGTTATGGGGGGGTCGTGTAGCTGCCATTAACACCTCCAGGGAGGCTTTTTTGGGGTGTCAGGGGGGAAGCTGGATCTCCCAGCTGCGGTCCCTGCAGGACACCGTTGCTGTCCCCCTGTCCCCAGCTGCACGTGGCCTTTGTGACCTCACAGGACCGGCAGCACCGGGGCTGGCAGAGCCCAGAGGAGCGGGACGCTGCCCTATTGATGGTGGTGTGTGGGGGCTGCCCAGACCCCCTTGGGCTCTGCACAAGCCTGATGGACGTGGGGATCGTCCCAAAGGGTCCCTGCCCCACAACGTGGCCCTTGTGTCCCATGGTGTCCCCTATCGTGCGTGTCCCACCACATCCATGCCCACTGAGCGTGCAGCCCCCATGTGCACCCCCCTGCCCCCAGCTGTGTACCCCCATCGGCTGTGTGTGCCCAGAGGCTCCACGTGTCCCAGCGGGTGTGCACAACTCAGGGCATTGTGCTGCGTGTCCCCTGGTCCCGTCCCCTGGTGGCAGCACAGCGGAGACCCCTGGAGCTCGCCCCAGTGCCTGCCCTGCCTCCCACCGCCCCTTCTGGGGGATTTCCCATTGCAGCCGCTGTGCTGGGCTGCCTGGGATGGAGTTAACCTTCCCTGCAGCCCGTGCAGTGTCTGCTGCTGCACACTGCTGGCACAGCATCAGGACCCCCTCCAAGCCTTTTTTTTTTTTTTTTTTCCCTTTTCCGTTTAATTAAATCATCCTCATCTCAAACCTCGAGCTCTTTGTCTCGTATTTTCTCCCCCTTTCTCTTTGAGGAGGGGGAGTGAGAGCGGCCGTGGAGGAACTCATGGAGGCAGGGACCCCCCCCCGAGAGCTGAGCATGGCCGTGGGACTGTCCCCGTTGGCCACCACATCCCCTGTCCCTGTCCCTACCCCAGCTCCCAGCCCCTCCACCTGCAGGCAGGATGCCCGACGGGGCAGGAGGGCAGCACGGCGAGCAGGGGGTGCAGCGCGCCCACCCGCCCTCCCCAAGGCACGACACAGCACGGAGGGCAGGAGGCATTATTGAGCAGCTCAGGCAGGACCCGCAGCCATCCTCGTCATTCCCCGACGGCGTCCTCGAAGAGGAGCAGCAGGGGCAGGAGCACCAGCAGGTAGAAGAAGAAGACGTTGGCGTGGGACAGGTAGCAGGCGAGGATCACGCACGCCACCATCTCCAGCACCATCTGGTTCTCGCCGTGCAGCTCCATGGTCCGTGCGCAGCCCCAGGCGGTCGCATCCATCCTGCAGGGACACGGAGCCCGAGGGCATCACCCGCAGAGCCAGGCGGGAGCCCCCCAGGGGTGCTCCCAAACAGGGCCCAGCACCCAGGGACCCCCCTGCACCCCTCGTCCCCCTTGGGGCTGGCACACATTGGCTCTGCTCCCATCGGGGTCCCGGCACGGCTCCGCTGGCCCCCCACGTACCCACAGCTCAGCACCACCAGGTCCCTCTGGCAGCCAGGAGGGCGATGTCACAACTGGGGCTTGTGGGGTGACACCACCTGCAGAGAGGGGACAGCCCCGGAGCATGGCCTCCCCTGGGGCTGGGGGCTGTGCTGGGACCCCAGGGCTGGGCACGGGGCTGCTGTGAGCCCCCCCTGTCCCTGCATGGAGCCTCTCTGGAGTGGCCCCCAGGGGTGGGCTGTGATGTTAGCATGGTGCAGAGGTGGCTGCGGGGACAAGGCACGGCACCGAGCAGCCAGAAAGCCCCACAGAGCCCCACAGAGCCCCACAGAGCCCCACAGAGCCCCACAGAGCCCCACAGAGCCCCACAAAGCCCCACAAAGCCCCACAGAGCCCCACAAAGCCCCACAGAGCCCCACAGAGCCCCACAAAGCCCCACAGAGCCCCACAAAGCCCCACAGAGCCCTTGTCCCTTCTCACACCCAGCAGCCCCACTCCAACCCCCAGCCACCTGCCTCATCCCTGCCCACCCCCAGGGGATGTGGGGCCGGCAGGAGGGGTCTGCCCGCACCCCCCAGTCTGCTGCCGTCACCCTGTGGTGGGGACAGTGCCCAGGGGACAGGGACGAGGCCAGAGGGGGCCGGGCTGGTGCTGGCAGCCCTGTCCTGCAGGTGGGCACGCAGCCACCCCTGTGGGCTCCCTGGGTGCACACCGGGCGGTTTGGGCACGAGCCTGGCGGCCAGCGGCGGCTGCCAAAGTGTTTGCCTTGGCCGCCAGCCCTGACCTCAGCCACGGGCTGCGGTCCCCGGCCGGGCAGGACAGGGCAGAGAGCCAGGGCACGGGGCAGCAGCACCACGGGGCAGCCCGGGGCTCGCAGCCATCCGTGTCCCGCGGAGAAGCTCCCTCCTGGGGCACCCCGGCACTGGGGTCCCCCGCTGGCCTCTCCAGCCGCACAGAGAGCTCCAGGCTCCCCAGGGGTGCAGGCACCAGCGGGTCAAGGAAGCGCTGTTGGATCCCAGACCCCGCAGAGGTGTGCAGCACCTCATCCCCTGCCCCAGCCCGGCGCCTTTAAGGCACCTCCTGCAGCCGGCGAGGGAGCTGGCGGCTGGCCGGCGGTGCGGCCGCCTTGACTCCGGTCCAAGCTGCATGTGGAAATCCAGCGAGTCCCTGGAAGTGCTGACTGGGGCGGAATCCACCGCTGGAGCCCCGCTGCGCTGAGTGCCTTGGCCTCCGGTCACCACCGCCGCGGGCACCCCCGGAGCGGGGCCAGCTCCAGCACGGCCTCTCCTGCCCCACGGCCGGGCACCGGTCCCAGCGGTGCAGCCAGGGCAGCGCGGAGCCGTGCCAGCCCCGCGGAGAACCTCGAAAGCCCCATCACGTGGAGGCTGAGTCAGGCCCCCAGGCAGCCTCCCCTCCCGGCCCTTCCCGGAGCCGCTGGGCTGCGGGCGCTCCGGCACGCTGCGGAGCTGCCTCGGCTCCCTGCAAGCCCTTCCTGCGCCCTAATCCCTGGGATGGGATGGGAAATAAAGCCGTGGTTCTGCAGCCCAGATGTGTGGTGTGGGGGAGCGCACGGCATTCCCGGCCACATCCTGCTCTCACCAGGGCTGGGGAAGGAGCCGCATCGCAAAGCACGAGGACCCCCTCCTGCAGGAGCACCCCTGGGTGTTTTGGGGCCAGGGGACCACATCCTGCTCCTCCCAGCCAACACAACCCATTCGGTGCTGGCCCAGCCCCAGGGCGCTGTTCCCATCCAGGAGGAATGTGCAGCCACTTCCCAGCCCCCGGCACCACTCCGAGTCCTGTGACCCCTCCAGGGATCCAGGGAGAGCAGGGATCGGGGATCCTGGGCTGGATCCCGTGCGCTGCAGCGGGCTCCAGGAGAGCCACAGGGACCAGGAGCAGGGGATGGGGGTGGGAGCAGCACCCCGACCTGCTGGCTTCGCTCCCTGCCCGCTGCAGCCAGGCACACGGAGCCTCCCCAGCTGCTCTTGGCCACCAAAGGGTGCCGGTGGCCAGTGGCCAGTAAGAGCCCAGCCGCTGCCTCCCTCCTCCTTGTCCCAGCCCAGATGCTGGAGGCTGTAAAAATCCTAATAAACCACAAGTGAAGGTCAGGCCCAGGAAGGCCCTTTAGGGGTGGAAAATGAGGTCATGGCAGGCTGGTGTTGGTGCCAGCAGCGGCACGGCTCCTCGCAGGATGCTGCCCTAAGCAGGACGGGGGGCTGAGGTGTGCCAGAGCTCCCCGCAGGGCTGAGGGAAAGAGGACAGGGCTGGGGAAGGGTCTGGACACAGCCCAGGGGAGCCCCCAGCTCCCCCAGCCCGCACCAGGGCTGGTGCAGGGGCAGCAGGGCCGTACCAGCAGGCAGTACCGGCACTGCACGGCCCCCACTCTGTGCGCCGCAGCCGGGATCCCCCCGATGTGTGCGGGATGGGCTCCCCGGGCACCACGGGGCCTCGAAGCGACTCCGGCACCTCGTGCTTCCCTCCCTGCAGGTTGGATCCAGCAGCAGGGACACGGCCGGGGCAGGGCAGGGTGCTCAGAGCCACCTCGGTGCTGGTGCCAGCGCCGCAGCCCTGGCCATGCTGGCGGGGGTGCACGGGGTGCCGAGGGCACCGCATCCCTGGGGCTCAGCTCTGGCTCTCCTGGGGGTCCCTGCGCTCCCAGGGACACCCCTCCCTGCTTCCCATTGTCCCCCACTGCTGGTGAGGGGTGGGTTCAGGTCCCGGTGCACTCACAGCTCCTGCGCTCTGCCAGGATCTGGCTGCGAAGCCCCAGCTGGGCTCAGCTCCATGCCAGCAGCTCCTGGGGCCTCGCGGGTGCCCGGGCTCAGCCGGTGGCACCGGCTGCTGCTGCGAGCAATGAGGGGGGGGGCCTGGAGCCCCCACAACCATGCTCTGCTCTTGGAATGCGCCGTGCATGGTCACGGAGAGCCAGGCACAGCTCCATGGCCGGGTTTGGCTGGGGAGTGCTCAGGGTCTCCCGTTGGGCAGGTGGGGAGTGGGGAGCACAGCGGGGCACCCACGGGGCACCCAGCGCACCCACCCGGCACGGGGGGCACCCAGTGGCCCCAGGAGGGTTGGGGACAGCAGGAGAGCAGCCGAGGAACAGGGAACACGGCTGAGGAGCATGGGGAACACGGCTGAGGAGCGGGGACCAGGCCAGGCAGATTGTTCCAGTCTGGGAGGGTTTTGTGCCCAAAACCGCTGTGTAATCAGAGCCGAAACATTCCTGCAAGGGCGGCAACAATCCCCGATGTGCGAGCACTGCGGGATCAGCCAAGGAGAGATGGGGCACCCTTTGCTGCCAGAGCCAGGCATGGGCAGCCCCTGGGGCATTCAGCATCCCCAGGAACGGGGGGGGGGTCCCCGAGGCACCCCGCACCAGGCCCCCCAGGCTGCCCCGCTGGTCCCCGCACGGCGCTGCCGACGTGGAGGACGGGACCGCAAATTTCCTGCGGGACCGGGGCCAGCGAGCAGCGGGGGCCGGGGCCGGATCCCGGCGGTGCTGAGCGCCCCCCACCCAAACGAGGGGCCGGGGGCTCCCCTGACAGCACCGCCGGGCTGGGGGCTGCGAGCTGGGTGCGGGACACGCGGGAGGCAGCGGGGGCTCGGGACCCCCCCCCCGGGCACCCCGGGCACCCCGGGGGGCGCAGAGCCCGGCTGGGGGCGCACAGAGCCGGGGGGGACCCCGAGCCCCCCCGCTGCCGGGGGGAGCCCCCAGCCCCGCTCCCGGGGGGTGCCCGCGGCCCCGGCGAGAGCAGCGGGCGGCGGGGGGCGAGGAGGGCGCGGGGGCGGGGACGGGGCCGGGAAGGGGCCGGGGGGGGGGCGGTGAGGGGCGGGGGCGGGCGGGGGCGGCCGCTGTGCTCGGCTCGGCTCCGTTCCGCCCGTCCCGTCCCGTCCCGTCCCGTCGCGGCGATGCCGGGGCTGCGGCTCCCGGTGCTGCTCCTGCTGCCGCTGCTGGCCGCCGCCCCCCCCGCGCCCCCCACCCACACGGCGCCCCCCGACAGCGCGCTGAGGCCCGGGGCCGCGGGGGTGGGGGGCTCCCGGGGCTCCACGGCGGCTCCCCCCAGAGACGCCGGGACGGGGGGGGCAACGAACAGCAGCGCCGCGACCCCCCCGAGGGGCACCGCGGCGGGGGGGGCGCCGAAAAGCCCGGCCGCGACCCCCCCGAGGGGCACGGAGAGGGGGGGGCCGGGAAGCGCCACCCCCGCCAGCCCCCAGCCCCCAGAGCGCGGGACGCTGAAGGGGGGGGCAGGGGCCAAAGGTAGGAGCGGGGGGGCTGGGGCTGGGGGGGGGTGAGGGGGGGGGGTGAGTGTACATGTGGGGGGGGGGTGCATGTGTGTGGGGGTGTGTGCACATGTGTGCATGCGTGCATATAGGGGTGTGTGAGCTGTGCATGTGTGTGCATGTGTGTGTGAGCATGTGTGTGTGTGTGTGCTTGTACGTGTGTGCATGTGTTGGTGTGTGTGTGTGTGCATGTGTGTGTTCGTGGGCATCTGTGTATGTTAGTGTGTGTGCGGGTGTGTGTTCATGTGTGTGTGTATGTGCTTGTACATGTGTGCATGTGTTGGTGTGTGTGTGTTCTGGTGCATCTCTGTATGTTAGTGTGTGTGCAGCTGTGTGTTCATGTGTGTGTCTGTGTGTGTGCGTGTGCTTGTACATGTGTGCATGTGTTGGCGTGTGTGTGTGAGCGTGTGTGTGTTTGTGGGCATATGTGTGTGATTGTGTGCAGCTGTGTGTCTGTGTCTGTGCGTGTGTCCGTGTCTGTGTGTCTGTGTGTCTGTCTGTGTGTCTGTGTGTATGTCTGTGTGCAGCTCTGTGCATGTCTGTGCGTGGCGGTGCAAGCAGGGCAGTGTGCGGGGCTGTTTGTACACAAGTGAATGTGAGCGAGGGGAGGGATTTCAGCGTGCACTGAGTGTGTGTGTGTGTGTGAGTGTGTGTGTGAGCATGGACGTGTGTGCATGGTTTGTGTGTATCGGCGTGTGGCAGTGTGTGCTGTGTGCCTGCGTGTGTGCACTTTGTGCACTGTGTGTGTTTGTGCACTGCTTGCACACGCAGCAGCACGGCTGGCACAGCGCCGGCATTCCCTGGTGCCAGTTGTGCCCGGTCCCGCTGTGGTTCTGTGCAGATGCCCCAGGGCAGGGTGTGTGTGTGGGTGTGTGCATGTCCATGTGTGTGTTTGTGTGTGTGTGTGTGTGTGTGTGTGCGTGTTTGTGAGCTGGGGCTGTGCACACCTGGGGGCTGTGCTGAAGTCGTGCGTGTGAGGGGCTACCCCAGGGTATCCCTGTGAGCCAGAGGGACAGGGGTGTGCACATGGGTGCGTGCTTGTGTGTGTGTGCACATGTCTGTGTGCATGTGTGTTTGTGCACGTGTGTGTGTGTGTGTGTGTACATGTGTGTGTGCACACGTGTGCCGGGTGCTCCCCAAGGCCACGCACTGCAGCGGGGTCATGCAGGGCTGCCCGGTTCCCCAAGCCCTCCTCATATCCCCCCTGGGGCCATTGGGGTGGGTGCACCCCCAGCCCCAGCCAGCTTTGCCCCCCTCCCACCCAGGGGCACCCCAAGGGCCGGCAGCCCCCAGACCCTGAGGCCCCCCCCCCCGTCCCTGTGCCTGCCCGCAGCCCCCGTGCCCAGGAGGAAAGTCGTGCGGGTCAAGGTGGTGAAGAAAAAGGTGCTGAAGAAGAAGCCGAAGGCTCCAGCCAAGCACCCGGCTGCCCCGCAGGAGCCTCGTACGTACACACCTTACACATGCGTGTGGGGGGGGGACACAAATCACACACACAGCCCCCCCCCCCAATCACACAGCGGGGCTGGGGGCACTGGTGGGGCTCCCCAGCATCCACCCCAGTGCCAAGACGTGGCTGTGCCCCTTAGGGGGGGTCCCCAGGGACCCCATGCACAGGACCAGCAGGCAGAGGAGGGCGCAGCATGGGGGCAGCTCCAGGGGGACCCCTGCGTGGGAGCCGCCCTGTGTGGGGTCTCTGAGCACGCCGTGCCCCCTCTGCTCTGCCCCCAGAGTGCCCCCCGCTGGGGCTGGAGTCCCTGCGAGTGCTGGACTCCCAGCTCCGTGCCTCCAGCGACAAGCGCTACGGCCTGGGCGCCCACCGTGGGCGGCTCAACATCCAGGTAGGAGGGCAGCGTGTGCACGGCATGTGCGTGGTGTGTGCATGGCATGTGCATGGCGTGTGCATGATGTGTGGTGTGTGCTCGGTGCGTGTGCCGTGTGCATGGCACCTGCATGGCACCTGCACGGCACGCAGTACATGCATGGTGTGTGCATGGCACACGTGTTTTAGGGGAGCCGGGGCTCTCCGCATCGCCCCTCCTGGCCCTGCTGTGTTTTGCTCAAAGGGGGGGCTCCACCACGACCCCCCCGAGGGCCCCGTTAAAGGAGGGCTTGGTCCCCTGGCCGAGGCACCCTGTCAGCACGGAGCTGTCCCCTGTCACTGCAGCACCAGCACAGTTCCCTGCGGGGCCGCTGGGGCCGTGCCGGGGATGGGCCCCGTGTCCCCCCCCACCCTGACCCCCTCCTGCCCGCAGTCGGGGCTCTACGACGGGGATTTCTTCGACGGCGGCTGGTGCGCGGGGCAGGAGGACAAGGAGCAGTGGCTGGAGATCGACGCCCGCCGGCTGACCAACTTCACCGGGGTCATCACGCAGGGGCTCAACTCCATCTGGACGTAAGGCGCGGGGCAGGGCTGGCCCCGGGGCTGGGGGCTGGGGGCCGGGCCCCCCCCCTGACCCTCTGCCCCTCGCAGGTACGACTGGGTGACCTCCTACAAGGTCCAGTTCAGCAACGACACGCACACGTGGCAGCCGTGCCGCAACGGCACCGAGGAGGCGGTAGGCACCCGGGGGGGGGGGAGGGAATGGAGCCCCCCCTGCGCCCCAGCCCAGCCCCGGCTCCCGGTGCAGAGCGAGGGCTCGGCGGAGTTAACGGCACGGGCGGGCGCTGTGCTGGGCTCCGGTGCTGTTGCCTTTGGCCTCCCTTCCCGGAGAGCATCCTCCAGCGCTTCCCCTCCCGCACAAAGGCTGCTTGTCCTCGCTGCCCACCCGGGGGGGGGGGGCCGGGAGCACGGGGGGGGAGACGCACGCGGGTGTGCGCAGGGCCCCATGGCACGGCGGAGCGTGCCCGAAGGCGAACACGGCAGCCTGGTGCTTGGGTGCACGTGTGAGAGCTGGGCAGCCGTGGGCACTCGGGGGTGCGGGCAGGGAGGGTACAAGCAGCCCCCCCGGGGGGGTGCAGGGATGGGAGAGAAATGGGGGCTGCCACAGCAGGGCTGGGGTCCTGGGGCAGCGCCGTGCCAGCAGCGGCTTTGGGGTCCCCGTGCCAGGAGCAGTTTGGGGTCCCCACGCTCACCCTGGTGCCTGTGCCGGGGGTCCCGCTGTGGGGTGGGGGCAGAGCAGTGTGGGTGCCCCAGGCCCCGTGGCTCTGTCCCAAATCGGGTCGTCGTCCCCCCCCCCCCGGTGCCGGTGCTGGGCTCAGCCCAGCGCCACGTGTCCACTGTTCATTAGGGGCTGGAGGGGGGCCAGGGGAGGCCGGGGCTGGGCGGCCGCACGCCCGTAACCCTTCGGTCCCCAGCCGGCAGCTCTGCCCCAGCCCCGCGTCCCCCCCCTGGGTGCCACACTCGGGCCCGGGGGCACGCAGGGGCTGCGCCTCCCCCCCAGGTCTTCCCGGGGAACAAGGACCCCGAGACGCCGGTGCTGAACCTGCTGCCCTCGCCGGTGGTGGCCCGCTACATCCGCATCAACCCGCAGACCTGGTTTGAGAACGGCACCATCTGCCTGCGGGCGGAGGTCCTGGGCTGCCCCCTGCCAGGTGGGCGCCCCCCCGGGCCCTGCCCCATGTCCCCGGGCCGGGCTCTCCCTGTGGGGCTGGGGGCTGGGGGCTGAGCTCCCTCTCACCGGGTCCCCTGCTCCCCGCAGACCCGAACAACATCTACTACTGGCCCAGCGACCCCGTGCCCACGGACAAGCTGGATTTCCGCCACCACAACTACAAGGAGATGAGAAAGGTGCCGGGGGCAGGGGGTTCTGCACCCCTGGGGACCTCCCAAACCAGTCCAGGGGTCCCTGCACCCCCAGGGGTGCGCTGGACCCCGGCGCCCAGAGCTTTGCCCTCCGCAGCTGATGAAGCGGGTGAACGATGAGTGCCCCAACATCACCCGCGTCTACAGCATCGGGAAGAGCTACCTGGGCCTCAAGATGTACGTCATGGAGATCTCCGACAACCCGGGCAGCACGAAGTGGGTACGTGCCCCGCAGCCCCAGGGCAGGGGAGGGGGGGGCAGAGCCGGGGGGCGCACAGCGGGGGGGGACCCGCAGCCACCGGGTGCCGTGCCCGTAGGTGAGCCCGAATTCCGCTACGTGGCGGGGATGCACGGCAACGAGGTGCTGGGCCGGGAGCTGCTGCTCAACCTGATGGAGTACCTGTGCCGCGAGTTCCGCCGCGGAAACCCCCGCGTGGTGCGGCTGGTCACCGAAACCCGCATCCACCTCCTGCCCTCCATGAACCCCGACGGCTACGAGACCGCCTACAAGCTGGTAGGTAGGGTCCGGGGCTCTTCGGGGCTGTGCGCCCCCCTCCTCCCCACACCGCCCGCTGACCCCGTCCCCCGCAGGGCTCCGAGCTGTCGGGCTGGGCCATGGGCCGCTGGACCTACGAGGGCATCGACCTCAACCACAACTTCGCCGACCTCAACACGGCGCTGTGGGACGCCGAGGACAACGACCTGGTGCCCCACGAGTTCCCCAACCACTACATCCCCATCCCCGAGTACTACACCTTCGCAAACGCCACGGTGAGGGCACGGAGGGGACGGAGCGGGGGGTCCCGGCTGCGCCCACCCCCTCAGCCCTCGTGGCCCTGACGCAGCGATCCTGCAGGTGGCCCCCGAGACGCGGGCGGTGATCGACTGGATGCAGCGCTACCCCTTCGTGCTGAGCGCCAACCTGCACGGCGGGGAGCTGGTGGTCACCTACCCCTTCGACATGACCCGCACCTACTGGAAGGCGCAGGAGCTGACGCCCACGGCCGACGACGGCGTCTTCCGCTGGCTGGCCACCGTCTACGCCACCTCCAACCTGGCCATGGCCAGCGAGGAGCGCCGCCTCTGCCACTACGACGACTTCATGCGCTCCGGCAACATCATCAACGGGGCCAACTGGCACACGGTGCCCGGCAGTGAGCGCGGGGCTGGGGGCAGGCAGCGGGGGGGCACGGCGGCGGCAGCTCTCCCCCCTGACGTCCCCCGATGCCCCGTGCAGGTATGAACGACTTCAGCTACCTGCACACCAACTGCTTCGAGATCACGGTGGAGCTCTCCTGCGACAAGTTCCCGCACGCCTCCGAGCTGCCGGCCGAGTGGGAGAACAACCGCGAGTCGCTGCTGCTCTACATGGAGCAGGTGTGGGACCGGGAGGCACCCCCGGCCCCGGGGGTCCCACCGACACTGAGGGGCTGGTGGCGGGATGCAGCCAGGGGGTCCCCAAATGCCCCCCAAGGCTTTGCACCCCCCTTCCTTCCTCCCTCAATGGGGAGGCTGGGGCTGGGGCAGCAGGGGCGTGCGCACTGTGTGTGCGCTCTGTGTGTGTGCACGTGCTGGGACACACGTGTGTGCTGCTGATGGACACGTGCTGGGTGTGCACGTGTGTGTGCTGCAC